CTGCTTTAATTCAGCTTCAGAATGAATATATCACACAGCCACACATGGAAGTATGTCATATGCCGATATTTTAACACAGTACAGCCACGCAACATCAACGTCAGTTTCACGAACTTGTGGCGACACATCCTGTTTTGGTAACCGGATATTGATAGATATGCAAAAGTATTGCGTGGGAAAAAAAATCCCCCCATGTCCCCTCACGGGTTCTGTAGTTTTCGTCTCGACTTCAGTTAATGAACACTAAAAGTTTCTTACAGTTGTATAAAACACAGAAACTAAAATATGTCTAAACACCCTTCAAAATCCACCTCTGGGGTTTAATGTTGAAGCATTCAGAGAATCTACGTTGCAACGTTTTTGGACTTTTCTGCATCTTACAGCTACAGTGGTACCTTGACTTATGAGCACCCCAACTCATGGAATACAAACAGATTCTTGGATGATTTCTGCTTTGAGATGAGAGCTAAAATTCATGATGTTACAAGCTTCAGACACCCCACCACTAGTTGGAGCAGCAAACGTCACAGTGAACTCTGCAACATCCTCCCAGCATCCAGTGTCTCACGTGTTTACTTTAAGTGGTTGGCTCGCAGTCGTAGCCTCGTTGTGCTCGTAGTTATTTATCAAAGCTTCGTTTTTCAAACCACTGGTCCAAAGAAATTGAAAAAGAAGGATATTAAAGTTTTCTGCACACAATTAGAAGGACTCACCCCATCCATACTGGGAGGGTCATGTTCAATCTGTCAGGTTCACATAGAGGAAACTTGTTCTGTCTCTCCATCCTTTTGGGGGTCCCAGACTGGAAAAAGTTGAAGACCCTTGCTGTACATTTCATAGCTTACTTAACCAAATGAGTTTAGTGCAGTACAAACTTTTGTGTTGTATATCCGTAGAATATTTGGCATTTGTAAGTACGTTTGTTCTTATTTAAAAACACAGAAATTTTTTGATTTTTTTTTTTTTTTGGGCGGGGTCTGGAAGGTATCAAAGGCTCAGTTTTG